GAGAGTTGAAATCTCTGAAGGGTAAGCCTCAACATATGCATTTTACAGGCTCTCAGGATGATTTGCACATTCATCAAAATTGTGAATTGTTCTGTTACAATAAGCACAGCATTACCAGTAACAGAGTTGTGTGACAACACAGCATTACTGGCAACAGAGTTGTTTAACAGCACAAGGTGAAAATAGTGAGTTCTTCTATGCCAGGTTAGATAAAAGGTTAGATTGAGGTTGTTTAATCCAGTGCTGGCCAGAAATGTGACTGTAAAATACAATTAATCCCACAATCTATTGGCATTGAGATCTCTGGGACCCAGATTTTATTAGAATAAGAAGCTAAGGTGGTAGTGGTGGCCAGTGAGGCTGGCCAAAGCCCAGTTACCTCATATTTGGCTTAGGAAGAAGAGCTGTTACCTCAACATCTTTGTGAGGCCAGGGAGGCCCGAAGAGGCCACAAAGGAAGTGGCACTAAACCACATAGATCCACATAGGTTTCCATGTCTGTGCAGGTGGCGTTTTTTCATCCCCAGGGTTTTGGGCTGACAAAGGATATCAAAGAATGTAGGAGAAAATGTGCCTACTCTGGCCTCTCCCACTTTCTATTCTGGGCTTCTGATAAAAGCTGATTTTTATTCTGTGGTTTTCTATAAAAATCTTTGCTTTCATTTCTTCTTTCTTCTTGATCCTATTTCTAAGGTTCATCATCTCTAACTTTAGGCCTCATCCTTCCCCTCATTTAGATAAACTTATTCTCTTTCTATGGGCTTTCTCACTTTTCTACTCACAAGTTAAATCAGTCTTGTCTTATTCATTACTTACAAAAGTTGAGCTGCTTACTTAGCATGGAATCTCACCTTCCTCCACAGAGCCCTTTGTAATTTCATGCACGTAAGACAAGGTCTCCAGGTAACTTTGAGAGACACAGGCTATGTGAATTCTCTGTTCTCACAGAACCCTGCCCCAGCCAAACAGCACACATAGGTCCTCAGGAAGTTCAGATAAGAAAATAAATCCAGGAGGATATCAGAGGAAATGGTAGAGTATAGATTTAAAAATTGGTTCCTCCATAAAAGCAATGAAAAACCTGGCAAAAATTATCACAATTAACTTTTTCAGGACTCTGGAAATTTTAAAAAGCTTATAGTAACTGGGGAGTGTTTATTCAAGAAGAGCAGATGAATCTTTCTAAGAACACCAAACTTTATGGCATTTCAACTTGTCCTAGTCCTATCCCCTGTTTCTCAGCTCAGCAGTAACCATAAAAAATAACAGCCCATATTCCTACCACAGACTGGCAGACACCAGAAGAAGTAAAAAGGAGCTAGATTTATTTAAAGGATTTATTCCCAAAGACTTATCATTATTTGATATGTCTGGTGATTTCCTGGAAGACTCCACTTACAAAATTGACTCAAAACTAACTTATTATGAAAAGCTTTCTCCACAGTATGGGAGATAGTTTGATCAAGATTACCCAGTCTGAGGATAAAAAATGAAGAAAAAGGAACAGATCCTGAGAGACTTGTGGCACACTATCACACATACCAGCATAAATATAATGGGAACTCCAGAAGGAGAGGAGAAAAAGAAAGTGGCAGAAAGACTATTTGAAGAAATAATGGCTAAAAATGTCCCAAATTTGATGAAAAATATTAAGTGGCACATTCAAGAAGCTAAGAGATGCAGAACTAGACACATCATAATAAA